CTAATGAGCTACAATACCTAACTTCCTTGAACTTGAAACCATGTTAAGCCTAAATGGATATAGATTTGACAACCTTTCCAGGCCTCATATTAGGCCACAAGACTTTGCTTATTATTCTCATGGCCCTGAACATAAAATATTAAGGTCAATGATACTCATCTCTATACATGTTTAGGTATATAAAAGTCTTTTAAGAACCTATCACTTATCCTTCATTAATGATATAAAAGGGATATTCATCCCCTTTTAATGTATGCGTCAATGATATTTTTCTTTATTTATGCTATTAGGGTAAAATTATATTTCAATCCCTTTTCTTCACAAAAGAATAAGACACATTGGCTTGTCTCTCAATACACCCCATGAATCTTTCAAGCTCAAGGCTCACAATCTCCATCCGCTATCGTATAAATATTTTCAGAGTATCTCTTTAAAATATTATTATCTTATTTGTAAAAAAGATACTTATTGAAGCATTAAATAGTCTTCAAATTCATTAAAGAAGACTTTTTTCTAGATACCAATTACTAGTCATTTTGGATAAGAAAAATGGATCATATTGTTAGAATCAAAAGATTAACTGATTATCCAATATATAAGCCTTACTCATATAATGCTTGAATTTTTTTGGATATCATCATTAAAACCGTTATAGGAAACTAGTAAAAAAGACATCAATTGTTCTTTTAGAACGGGGTTATTAACATCCCTTATCACCACAAAAGTAGATAATTAAGACGCATCTGCTCCATCAGAGCTTTAACAACTTTTCAATAAGGAATAAGAAAGGCTATACAGTAATTTGATCGCTCTAAGTCAAAGTATATTTTCTTCACAAATGTAGTGAGATGAGAGAATTTGGGTTATGTGTTTACCATTTTCAGAAATGTAGTTAAAGCCTCAAGATTTTGAAAAGCTTTTGACAAGTATAAAAGAAATGTTGATTTAAACCATAAAACATATGAAATATCTTTGACAACTATCCAATAAAAAAGATGAAGTGATCCAAAGACCAAAAGATCTATTGGAGGTTCTAGTTGATCTAGTTACAAGGCTAAGAGTTAAGAGATTTAAAAAAGCTTTCAATGGACTTCTTTTAGATATATGGGCTAATGTTGAATTTAAGAGGATATAAAATAATAAGGAGCAAATTGTGATTAATCTTATTTATGTTCAAAAGGGGTTTGTTGGTGGAATTAAAATCATTACACAAGGATTGAGAGAAGAAGACTAGATTCAGATAGTTTGACCTTTCATTGCTTTTTTTTTTTTTACCATAAATGAAGGTATAAGTCTAATTTTGAGGTGATTCTAGTTGGGATGGAAACTAGACTTCCATACCTTTCCAACAATACATGGCACATAGACTTCCATACCTTTCTAACAATACATGGCACGCCTTTTAATTTTTTAAGACTTAAGTCGAGAGAGAACCATTTGTTTGAGGTTGAGCTTTGCTGCTAAGAGACAGAATGCGAAAATAATTGAACTTGTCTTATTAAATTAGTTGGACTATTAAACTTTTTTTATTTGGAATCACTTGTTTGGGTTTCAAATTTGTTTATTTTATTTATTTTAATTAGTTTGAGCTAGTTTTAGCTTGAGTTGATTATTATTTAAATTGAGTTTATATGTGACCCATTAGGAAAACTAAGGTTTTTTGGCTTAGGGTATAAATACTCTTGAGAATAATTTTCAGCGTATTTTTTTAGCTAATAATATTATGATTTTTGCTGACTTTTGGTTAACAATCTTGCTTCTTGATTGAATTTTTAACTCTTTAAAGAATTGACCAATCTTTGTTGTGAATTTATACTTTGTTTGCTCGTCTTCAGGTGTAGGCATTGTGATTGGATTGGTTTATAGTCTTGTTGCTTTGAAGCAGGTTTTTCATTGTGATAAGCTTATCCTATTTTTAGCAAAGTTGGATTGCATAGATTTTGGGTTCACAAATTCTAATCAATTCTGCTAGGGTTCGTATTGAAGAGAAAAGTCTCCCTTACATCTATAATTCTGATTAAATAAAAATCTATCATAGCCAATAAAAATAAGAATGCAAGTTTCTTGTATATGGATGAATTATTTAAAATGACTTTTTATTTTTTCCAAGTGATGTCCGAGGGCTTCTCATCAACTCCCCAATGAAATGAATGACTCGGGAAATAGCACCATAACCTTCTAAATATGGAATTGACTTAGTCTTCTTAGTGTGATTATATAATTTACATTGAGATAGATCTACAAGACCATCTTAGTGCAATTGCATAACTCTCTTTGGAAGGAATGAATTTGAAGTCTCCCTAATGTGATAGTACAACTCTTGTTGGAAGGGATGGATTTAAAAGCTCCCTACCGTGATTGCATAACTCTCTTTAGAAGGGATGAATTTGAAGCTTTTCTTATGCTTTGAGATAGATCTACAAGACCATCTTAGTGTAATTGCATAACTCACTTTGAAAGGAATGAATTTGAAGTCTCCCTAATGTAATAGTACAACTCTTGTTAGAAGGGATGGATTTAAAAGCTCCTTACTGCGATTGCATAACTCTCTTTAGAAGGGATGAGCTTTAAGCCTTGTATAAATCTTATTGGAAAGGAAGGATCTAAAACCTCCTTACTATGAGTGCAAAACTCACATAGAAAGATATTGACATAGACTCCCTAAGACAATATCCCTAAACTCATTAAGGATAGGATTGACTTAGTCTTTATAATACGATTCACAACTCATTTTGGCAAGGATTGACACGATCTTTTTAGGGTAATAACCTCAAACTCTCTAGGAAAAAAATTGATTTAGTATCTCTAGTATGATTGCACAACTTCCCACAATAGAGATTAAACTTGGTATCTCAAATGTAATTGCATAATTCACTAAGAATGAGATTAACTTAATCTTCTTAATGTGAGTGCACAACTTACTTTGATAAGGATTACAATTCTTAATCTAAAACAACCGATTGGCTGATTACTTGACAATATAAATATAAATGTCATTTTTAAACAAAAATAGATTTCCTAAATTATAAACCTTATATCCTAACCCGAGAATACTCTTAAATTTTTACCAAATTACATCAAATCAAATACCATTTTTTTTTTTTTAGATTTTTCTTGAAAATTGAAGAGTGAGAGCACCAAAAAAAAGTCAAAAGAAAATCAAATTAAGAAGTAAAAAGACTAATGATCCAATTTCATATCAAGGTGATAATATCCAATGATTCCTAACTTCTTTTGCAAATAGGTTTATTGGTTTTGAAAAAAGGATTAGAAGATGATTTGGTCTTTTTGTTCAAAACATGTTATAAATTGAGAATTTTTATTATTGTTTTTTATTTAGAAACATGAGTATTCTAATTTGTTTTGCTAAGTAGATCTAATAGGCTGTTTTATTTGAGCCAAGTTTTAATAAGTCTAATAAACTTGTTACTAAGTACATGTATACATACAAAATATTTATTTTTATTCTTTTGGTTTTTCTGAAAATGCTAAAATAAATATTTTTTTCATAAAAAATATATTTTTGGATGGTTCTTTTTTTGTCTTTTTGTAATTAAAAAACAAATGCTTTATTATTATTATTATTATTATATAATATGCAAAAATGATTAAAAAAAGAAGAAGAAGAAGACTTGGCCGTAAACAAGCTAACTACCGGACAAAGTGTATATACTGACTTGCCAAAAAACTCATGACAGTAAAATGAAAAATATGCAAACGACACCCTAGAAAACCAAACATTTAGCCAAGTGATGACCTCTCATGAACAAATGATCTTGTGTTCTCATCTATTTCTTCTCACAAGATCAGCTGGACTAAAAAGTTTATGAGTTCTGCAAATAAAGCTTGTGTTTGCAAATATATTATCTCATGAACACAAACTTTGTAAACGTGATTTTTTTTTTCCCTGTAAAAGTGGAAAGAAGCCCATTGAGACAGAGGATATAATTTGAAGTTTTGAAAACCATATGATGCATCCATTTTTTCACTTATCTGCAGATCGAATTATGCATAATTCCACATTCCATAGTGATATTAATCATGTTATCAAAACGTGAAGAAAACGGGGAATGATCACACACATTTTTAATGATGAGAACCATTCATGAGAAGGACAAACACTTGGTTTTGCAGAGCCAAAAGTTAGGGTTTATTGATGGAAAACATGAATGCACTATAATTATGAGAACAAATTCTGCAGTTGCCTCGAAGATATCACTTCTTTGAAGACTGGATTTTGAACAAACATGGAAAGTTTGGGTTTATGGTTTTGAAGGGAGGCTGTCTGGGAGTGCATTTGGCATGAATTCTAGAGTGGATTCAAGGGTTTAAATTGAGGTCCTTCGCACCATAATTGCAGCTGAAATGTTGGAGCGCATGTTTCCTGTGTTTTTGCTCTGTCAATGGGATTAATTAGAATTGAGAATTAAGCTTGAAGATCGCATGAGACTAAACCATTTTCTACCCAGAAAATCTTCAGATTTAAGGAATAAAACGACGTTGTTTGCTTTGAATCTTCATAGCATTTTCTTCCTCTGCTAAAAACGACATCGCTTTGGCCTCAATTAGAATTAGGTTTTCCCAATGAAAATCATGTCATACTTCATCTTCATCCCTATATTTCAAGACTGTTGTGACTTGATCCTTGTACTTCCAATCCTCTTATTTTCGATCAACTGTCTGCTATTTCTCTTAATTTGCTTCAATTTGCGCCTTGACAGAATTACAATGTGCCCTCTAATTGTTCCATATCTCTCGTCTCAGTCCTTATCTCTTCAATTCTTCATTTTAAAACCAAATTGACTTTCAATCTCAATTTTTTACTTCAATCAAACCCTTAATTGATTTCTAATTTGACTATTTATTTGAAACTTAGTCAAATTAAATCAAGTTAAGCATTTTTCTCCATTTCCTCTTCAATTCAAACCCCAAAAATCACTAATAAAATTAAGTCCAAATGATAAGTACATCACCTTAAATTATGCAATGATAGACTTAATTTGCATGGAATTGAACTTCTATAGCAGAAAATTATTTGTTGTGATTGAATTAAAAGAATGTCGTTCAGATAAGTAATTACAAAGAGAAGTCATTTCCTTTATAGATACCCATCCATATTCTCCGATAGTGATGAAAAACACTTTGTTTTGTTAATATAGATATAAATCTCACACCATTCATGGCCCACCGTTATTGGTTTGGATGGAACTGGAATTTCTGATTCTTCTGCTGGAATTCCCTTTCTCCATCACATGTTAGATGTTAGTAATCTTTTTTTTTTTTTTAATTTGGATCTAGTTTCTTGTTACTGTGAGATTTGATGCCCTCTCTCTAATTATATGGTTGGTTTGTGTTTTTTAGCAACTTTCTTCGCATGTGTTTTTCTGCATGTGAGGGCAATTATTTTTTTTCTTAATTACTGTGAGATTTTTTTGTAAAAGAATTCAAACTTATGATCATTAGAAGTAAATCCAAAACACAACTAGTTAAGCAGGCAACTGTTGATATTCACATTGATGATCATCACACTAACGAAAATGTTGCTCTTGCTATCGGAACTGTATGTCATTGTCTTTCCTCTTTATTTATTTATTTATTCCTTTTTCTCGTATCGCACGTTACATCTTGATTGTTATTATCATCATTGTTATTGTTACTACGTAATTTCTTATTCTGTATCTTGTAACTGTACACTTTAGGTTTAATCATCTGTTTTTTTTAATTGATGCTTGTCAACTGTTTGTAAAAATGTCTAAACCAAAATCCTGCTTGGTTTATGAGCTGCTTGCAATAGACTAGAAACCACTCCACTTGACATTAAATTAAATAGATAGCATTATTGGTTTATCAAAAACAAGCGGGGAGAAAGAAAAAAAGAAGATATCAGTTGAATAAACTATTTTAATTAATTCTATGGTTTCTTTTAATAAACACACCCCTCTTTTTTTATTTTTTTATTTCCTTTTCTTGTCTTCATATATACATCTAGTGGAAAAGGGGAAATGAACCAAAAACAATTAGTGAAGGACTCTCCTTCAACAGTCAAAAAGTGCATGCAGACACTGCCTGAGTTATATCGCCGCCTCACCACTGTGCCATTTCATATGGACACTAAATTTGAATTGACACATTCCATGTTCAAAGTAGCAACAAACAGTTAAGCACAATAACTCTAAAACATTAGAGAAGGACACAATCTTGATGAGGGACTCCAGCTTCTGTCTTTCACTTTTTCATGAGCCAGAAAGAAATGTTAAATGATGACGCATGACCTCTTTCTTCTTCACCCAGAAAGGTCATTGTTGTTCATGATCAGGAAGTAGCTGAAAATGGAGTCCATAACAGGTCTAGTGCCTTGCAGGAAAAATTCTGTACTTGTCACACTAACAAGAACTAATGACAAAAACATGGTGAAAAGATAAAGGTAAATCATCGTGGTTTAAATACAAGGCAAAATGCTTGATAAGCTTCATAATCATCAAGAAGTACATTTTTCTCCTTTGTGTCTTTCTGAGCCTAGCTGTGGTGGCTGTTGCGTTTTTAAACCAAAATCCTACTTGACTTTGGAGTGTGTTCATGGCTATTTTTCGTAATTTTTAATTTGATGGATTATTTTAGTTGTTTATTTCCATGTTTGGTTTTTTCCTCTTTGAAAAAAAAACTTCTTGTTGGGTTATCAACTTGTCATCCATCTCCTCCACAAAAATCTTACAATTTGCTTACATATTGGCTGCTTCAATCTTGACATGCCATTACCTAGTATTGTTTCGTTGATGACGTAAAGCTTGTTAGGCTTGCTGTACAACTAGCATCATTTCTTTTACCCTGATCTTCCTATGTTTTGATATCAAGCTCTTAAATTTTGCCATAATGTTTCCTGATTTTCATCTGTTCAAAGACCAACCATTCATCAAAACAAAACTATATGAGTTGGAAATTCAAGAAAGCAACATGTATTATATACTTGATTGATATTATATTCCTGATTTTTAACTATGTATATAAACACACTATAGGTATCACGGAGCGGAACGCTAACTAGAATGGAATTGACAACCTTACCAGGGGTTAGCAAGGGGATTTTTTTTTTTTTGGCAAACATAAGTATGTTTAGGCACTAAAAGCTAGACAGTGGCTGGGTTTGCAGCGCTTGTGATACACGCACAAGCAATAATCTGCAAAAAAAGAAGAAAATCAGGATTTTTAGGGTTTGTTATGCTGGCTTGTTTCTGAGTTATGATGGAGTTGAGTTTTTGGGCGTGATTTTATTGAGGAGGTTGGCAAGGATTCGGGGAAACTTTGATTTGTTTTTGATTGTAAACAAACCCTGATTGAGCTGCGATTTTGGTGTTTCTTCGGTTGGGATTTCTGTTAATTTTTGGGTCTGTTATGGTTAAGTTTGGGGGCTGCTGCTGGTTCTGGTTGCCGTGGCTGGAGTGATTTGGTGAGGAAGGGTGGCTTGGGTTTGAGAGTCAGTCAAGGGCTGTTACAGGTTAGTTTGTGAGGAAAGGACATTGAAAATGAGAAGTGATGAGTTGATTGAGGGGCTGGAATGGTTTGATTTGAAATTGTAATTTTTAGTTTTGAATTGGCAGCTTATGGGCTTAACTAAGAGAGAGGTCTAATGATTAAAAGGGGAAAGTTTGGGCTGCTGTTTTGGGAAGGCTTGCTATGGCGGGAAGGTCCATAGAGAGAGGAGAGGCTGTGGATTGCTTGCTTGCTAGGTTCGGCGTTGTGGAAATGTTGGAAAGGGGGGGACTGTCACAGCTGGTTTTGGTTTGTGAGGGGTGCTGCTGGTGTCTAATTAAAATAAGTGCAGACATGTCTCTCTCTTTTTACCCTTCTTTAGTCAGAGTATATAACAAAGCAAGGTATTCAAACATCCCTTTTATTTCTCTAAATGGTTTTGATGAACTGAGGGTGCTTTAAAAATCTTTTTAGGATTTCCCTAGGAAATTTAATATCGCAACTCAATGCACCTGTTTGCTTCCTCTAGTGAAAGTTGAATTGATCTCTTTTCCAAAAAAAGTTGAATGGATCAGATTCATCAAGTTTTTTCAATGAAATCTACAATTGATGATACTGCTCTTCCCAATGCACATTTTTCTCTCCCTTTAGATTAGATGAAGGGACAGTAGAACCAGCAGGATGATAACTGGATTCTGCTGGTGAAAACCTTGTGCTAGATTGTCCAGGAGTAAGAGGAACTAAAGGTTTTCCAGATGAGATTATTGGAGGAGCCACAGGCATAGGTGCCAATGCTGGAAAACAAGAGACTGTTGACTCCTTTATCTTGGGACGCTTTGGTTGAGCAGTCTCCTCTGGAAGACTAAGCTTGCCGACTCTAGCTTCAGCTTTCCTCTAGAGCACCACTGATAGAAGATTCATAGCATGGAACTGGATGGTTCGTCAGGCCCTCAGATGATGGTCTCTTGGCTCCAGAAACCTTAATGCTATTCGCAGTTTACCCACCATCCTTTGATAATGGAGAATTTCCAGCAGATTTGGGAATTCTATTTTCTTTCTACACATCTCTTAATGATGTCTTCTTTACAACAAATGGAAATTGCATATCGTGTGTGGACAAGCTTTTTATCAGCATTGCCAAGCCCATACTTACCAAATTTTGAATCTTTTCATTTGTTGAACCAAAAAGATAAATCAACAATTTTCAACACTTCATAGCCACTGAACTTCTAGACTCAAGCGAGCCTTTCCAGGGGTTATGAATTTTTTAAAAAGAAATTCCTGAAAAATTGAATTTTAATGAATTTTTTTGGAGTATCTTTCAACAAACAAATTATCAATGAGCATTGCTTTGGACTTTTTTTTTTTTTTTATTGACTTTTACCATTCACAATTTATACTCTTGTGGGCTAGGAGTATTACGATAGAATATCATTTGTTATTTTCTTGGACAAGTGAAACTTAAGATGATGAATCTGAAGCTACCTGCACATCTCCATAAAGCTTCCAGTTCTTCTAAGCGCAAATTTATATTTTATTGGTGAATAGCAATCCTTAATAATAAAATATTTATAAAAAAATTTATAAAAAATTGAATTTTAATGAATTTTTTTAGAGTATCTTTCAACAAACAAATTATCAATGGGCATTGCTTTGGACTTTTTTTTTTTTTTTGACTTTTACCATTCACAATTTATACGGGCTAGGAGTATTACGATACAATATCATTTGATATTTTCTTGGACAAGTGAAACTTAAGATGATGAATCTTAAGCTACCTGCACATCTCCATAAAGCATCCAGTTCTTCTAAGCGCAACTTTATATTTTATTCATGAATAGCAGCAATCCTTAATAATAAATGTAATTTGATATTCCAACAGAAGAACAACTTCAGTGCCATAAACAAGAGAGTATGAAGCTCTTTGTGTTAGTGTTCGATATATTATGCAATATGCCCATAAAACTTCTATTCTATCATGTTAATCTTGCTTTGACTTTAGCATCATCTTCTCCAACAAATTACACAAATTCTAATTGAATGATTTAGCAAAATTATACATGGATGAGTTGTGTTGTATGAAACCAAACTTTGCTTTTATATTTATGAACTCTTTTACTAAAAAAATAAAAAATTAATGCAAGAAAATAAAAATATACTTGAAAACCTTGGTTCCAATTGAGTAATGTCGATTTGGTTTTTTACTATTAGTAGGGTTTATCCAAATAAATAATATAAATGTTATGAATCCTTTTATTTAGAGGGGTTAAGATATAAAACTGATAAAAATCTTTTATAAAAAAATAATAATTAAAGATTCAATTAAATAATTTGATAAATTCTGATATATATCATGGATTCTCTCTGCTTTCTTTACTTGGATGTGATTTGCCCTAAACTTTAGCTATCTCATTTCCTACTTGCCTTCCTGTTAAATCTCAATTCAATTTGGATGAATCTATGTTTTAAGTATTTTCTTTAACTAGCTGAAGTAAAAATAAATACATAAATAAATAAAACAATTACAAATGATTTCCTTTACTCGACAAGTTAGCTAGCTTAATCCCTAGGAGGGTTTGTCGAGAGGGGAATCCATATTTCTTTCTGGATCTAATTAGAAGGTAAATGTAATAAGAATAATAGTTTTTTTCCTTTTAAAAAAGAAAAAAAAAAGAGTAAAGGGAAAATGTAAAATAAATTGGAAAAATACATATTGTCAAGAATGGGATTCGAACCCATGCCCTTTCGGACCAGTACCTGAAACTGGCGCCTTAGACCAACTCGGCCATCTTGACGTTGGTGAATGGCCTTCTCATAAATCGTATATAATTAACTTAATTAGCAAGTAAAAACTTCAAATCCATTATTTATTTTAAATAGCACTATAAAGAGAGTTTTAGAAAAATAGTTTTTTTTGTGATTTTCTTGAAAATATATTTTTAAAATTAAATTATTTTTTGATATTTAATAGTATTATAAAAAATAACTTAGAAAAAGATTTTTTGATATTTAATAGTATTATGAAAAATAACTTAGAAAATATTTTTCGATATTTGACTAAGGCATAGAAAATGAGCTGAGAAATACTTTTTTTATTTTTTTAATTTTTACTAAGAGAATGAGAACTAAATTTAATAAATAAAAAAGTTAAAGAATAAAATTAAAAAAAAATATAACCTTATAAATTATTTCAAATAAAATAAATAAAAATAAAAATAATAAAATTAAATATGACATATAAAAAAGTTGAAAGATAATGAAATTAAAAATAATTATAATTTCATGAATTATTTCAAATAAAAATAAATTACAATTAAAAGAATAGAGACCATATATGATATAATTAACAAATAAAAATATATTTATGAATTTTCTATAACTTTTATAATTTTTTTTATAAAAACTAAGTCATATTTTTTCTTTGATTAGAAAGTATTTTTTATTGATTAATTTTTTTAATAATAAATAAATACAAAAAACATTTAAAAATAATTTGACTAAGGTTTTGTGGTTTTAAAAAGTGTTTGAGAGTATAATAACAGTAGTTTTTTAAAATATTTTTCGTCTGAAAATGAATTATAATAATTTTTTTAAAAAACTTATTTTTAATATCAGCATATTAAATTTTTTTTAAAAACATAAAAAAATTAATATTAAATAGAAAAATTAAATTTTTATAAAATGTTGTTTGTATAGCGTGGCCAAACTTTTATCACTGTGCTAGGTGAATATGTATTGCATTGGAGAGAGATGCTTGTGTATGCAACTGAGAATAATTCCAAAGTTACAATTATTGGATAAAGCGGTTACAAAATGCTGTTCTACTTTGTCTTCCATGATTAGTAGAATATATCTGGAACATCAACAAGACAGCAAAGAACCGTTGCTTTGGATTTCTGAAGAGCCAATCAATTCACCTCTTCAGTGTACAAAAGCTGAAGCCACCTGCTGCCTGCCAAAAGGCGGAACGTTTTCAAGCTATGTTTGTATTGTAGTAGAAGGAAGAAATGCTGTCAACCACCACAGGCAGCACCGCATCCAGCAGCGCATCCTCCACCGTAAAGGGTCGAATCAGCTTCAGATGTTTTGTCCTTCGATACCCCTTCAGCACAAGAAAAGACTATGGCTGAAAGCAGACAAAGGGTTAGCAAAACTGCCCACAGGAATACTAGACATGAACCGTCAAGACCACCACCACCTCCATCCACGGCGAGCACCTCTTTCAAAGGCCTCACCATCGATCTCTCAATGCGAAAAAATCCAAGGGGTGTGTGTCTTTTGGCGTGGGAAGTGGTAGCTAAGAGGGGTACTTATACACTAGGATTACTTTGGGATTTTAGCTTTATGTGATTCTCTCTCTATGTAAATTACACAAAGAGATGGCAGGCAACGAAGAGAATCATAACAAGGAAGAAGATAGTGGGTCAACACAGCAGCCACTATAACCCATGAACAATGGTCTTGCATATGCTCCTCCCACTCTTTGTTCGCATTAAAATTATTGGCCTCAAGAACTAGGATCACAGCAAAATAGCCACAGAAATATGCGACAGCTAAATCCTCATCGCGCATTCAAAGTGAGGTCTGTGGCCTCCACTTGTCCTCGTGCAAAATGGGCATCAACTTTCACTAGCGACTTCATAGTAATTTATGTATATAAAGACTTTGAAATTGCCTTTTAGTAATATTGACTAGGGAAGGTTGCAACTACTGGCCTCATTAGTGGAGCCCTATTCATATCCAGCTTATTACTAATTAAACCATAAATAAGAAAATACTTTTAACTAATATATTGCTTGTGGACGCCGAATGGGTTCATTTCCTTCCATCATCATTGAAATACTCAAAAAACATGATGGATCTTTACATATATCAGTTGGTTTTCTACATTACCCTACTATTCTAAAAGACTTGGTATACTTTCTTCTTTTTTTCCTTCCTCTTAATTCTTTTATTTTTTTATTTTTTTTAAAATTTCATCCTTATACTTTCTTTAATAATCATCTTAGTTATTTTTAAATTGACCAAATTGATTAGTTCACACCACAAAAACTTTCATGTAATTTAATTTTAAACTTTATTGAGATAAGAAATTAAGTTAAGAAATTTTTTCTTTTATCAATTCATTATTTTTTTTCTCATTTCCATATTTAAAAGTTTTTTACTTATTGGTCGGATTGCTTTTGGACTAGTTAAGCCGACTGGATTATGTTAGGGTACTCTTATTTGGTTTATTTTAAATTCATGTTAGGTAAGAAGTTGGATTGAAAGTTTTTTATTTTTATTTTATTATTTTTTTCTTAGATTTTTTTCTTTTACTGATATGTTGTGTTACTTTTAGATTTATCAAGTTGATTAGTTTATAGCAAAACAACTCTTATATAATTTAAATTTATTGATAAATTTCAATATTAATTAGTTTGAGTTAGATTTATTAACAATATTAAATGATTTTTTTATGACTTTCATATTTTTTATTACATTCAAAAAAATTAATACTACCCACGACGTAAAACACACATATATAAACTAGTGTGACTCTATGGCATCAGTACAAGCACCATTCTCGTAATGTTAGATGGATATCCAAGAGAAGTCATGAGTGGCATCACTATATCAATCAGCAGGATTTGTCATTTTGGAGTTCCAACAAGCTTGTGATCTTTCAGACTGCAAATATTTTTCAAGCACTTTGGAGTTACCATAGTATCAATTAATGCAATATTTCTCAAGAAATTTGCAGGAACATTATTATTGAATATAGCATTTCAATAGTTGAGATTTCCAAATTCTAATATTTAGTTTTAGTTTTTATTTCTTGTAATTCTATCTCATAAAATTAATCACTTGCAAGGATACACTTCTTGTAACATAGTTTAAACAACAAAAAAGATATATCCCATGTATACATTATACTTGTTGACAACTTCGAAAACAATTCAACTAAATATTCATTCTTTTCACCTAAATTATTGCTAGCGCGAGGGGCAAAGCAAGGCATTTTAATTTGGGAGGGTCAAATTAGAGAAATTATTTTAGAGGAGGTAAAATTTAAAAAAATTTATTTTTAAGATTAAAAATCTAATTTATTAAAAGAAAAAAACTAAAAAATAATTTTTTCTTATATGCCCAGTACCTTGCTAGACCTCCTTAATTTCACCCTTGAACCGCTATCTAAATTTCAAAAAAACAACCGAAATTATATTATAAAAACAAACAAAGATAATAAAAATCTTTTCAATTCTCCAAAAAGCAACAAATACGATACACCGTGAATCACTTTCTTGATTGACAGGTTATGAGAAAAAATCAACATTCTTTGAACCATGCACTCTTGTACGTTAATCTTATACATAACATTCTAAGAGATACAATAGGTACTTCCTTTACAAATTCTCTTATTATAACAAAAGATAGATGGTGTGATAAAATAATATAAATTAAAAGAATTTTTTAATATAAATTATAATAGTAGTTTTAATTTTAATTTTTTATCCTTTTACAAGATGATGTTTTTTTTACTTTTCATTTCTATGCATTCATTGTTTTTTCTTTGCCACTTTAGCACCTTGAGTCTTGTTTAATTGCTGCAACAACGCTAGACTCATAAGCGTCTTGGATCTGGTAACCATGTTTGGATTTAACATGGTTGTTAAACTCATGCGCAGGTCTATCAAACCCACCTCTAAGTCAAAAAATTTAAAACTTTTTAGAAATATGATTGGCTTACAAAAACAAATGTTACCTCATTCAAGCAGAATTTTTTATTAATATATAGTAGAAATTAATTACAAACTTTTTTTTGTTTATAAATTTGTTATATTTGAAGAGAAAAGAATGGGGAAAAAATGTTGAGTTCTAAATGATTTATTTCAAGCCTTAAAAAATGAACTTCCTTTTTTTATGTGCATTGTGGATGAAAATATGTATAATGAAACTAAACATATATTGTCCAATATTCTTAAAAACAATATAAAATAATATTATCATTGGTGAAAAATCACAAAGGACCACCCATTAAATAATTTTTTTTTACATTGAGTTTGATTAAAAAATAAAAAATAAAAAATCATAAAAGAAGAGAAAAAAGAAGAAGAAGAGAATAAAGAGAAAAGATATAATTTCTACTGAAAGAATAACAAATTCATAAACATAAAAAATAAAATATTTCAATAGGAAGATATGATTTGAATTTTTAGAACTAAAATGTTAAATTTGATTTTTGTAATGATTTATTGTTTATAAATAATTTTTAAACTTATATTTTTGTTTAAGATACTTTAATGATACTTAAAATAGTTTTTAAAATAAAAAAATTATAAGTTGATAAATAATTTCTAAACTTGTATTTCTGTTTAAGATACTTTAATGATACTTAAAATCGTTTTTTAAATAAAAAAATTATAAGTTTATAAATAATTTCTAAACTTGTATTTCTGTTTAAGATATTTTAAAGATGCTTAAAATGTTTTTTTAAATAAAAAATTATAAGTCTCAATATTTTAATTATCATTTCCTCGTACGCAAGTCGCATGAATCTAGTATGGTTACCAGGCTTAGATGCTTGAGTCATGCCAAATTTAGGCATTGAGTTAAAAAAAATATAGTTAAAAAAACAAGAAAACAAGAAAATGGAAAAAAGGGAGAGAATATAGAATTTCTATTGAAGAAATAACAAATTTATAAACATAAAAAATGAACTACTTCACTAGGAAGGTATGATTTCAATATTTATATCTAAAAAGTTAAATTAGATTTTTGTAATGATTTGTTATTTATAAATATTTTTTGAATTTGGATTTCTATTTAGAATACTTTATAGATAATTTAAATGTTTTTTCTTATAAAAAATAAATAAAAATGATAAGTCTTAACATTTTAATTATCATTCACTTAGATTTGGATCTGGCATGTCTGTCAAATCCAAAACACTTAAAATATTATTTATACTCTTAATATTTATTTTTACATTTAAAAAAATTAATATTAATTGTTGCGCTTTGGATCCATAATGGAAAAAGTGGATGTTCCAAGAAAAAACTCAAATGAATCAAGTTCATTTGAAAGTCGATAAATAGATTAAGACATCAAAGATGGATAGCTGGAGTACGAGATTAACGGGAATCATGAATACTTATAAAATAAGATTTTATTAGGTTTAGGGGACCCTACACTACTTAAATTAATAAAGATATAAGTGTCATGAAGCTTTTAAGATTATACAATGTTTTTGTTTGTAAGATTGTACAATGTTTTTGTATGTAGAGATGAAATCAATAAGATGATAAAAGTATACACTAAAGATTTATAATTAGAAATTGCAGAGTTAGAACTTGCCTTTCTTTGTGGTTCATGGATGTTTATATAATTATGAACCACATCGACTTGTATGGAAATAAGGATACATTAAGAAAAATATTATGATATTTAATTTAATAGCAATCATTTAAGGTAACAATCCTTAATGTTGATGGTGCATTATTGAGTAGAAATGATGTTATCATTTGGGTCATCTACTAGGTATGGTTATCCCTAACACTATTATATGTGTTTAATTATGATAGGAGGATGTGGAAGTATTAATGTTGAATACCATTTATACAAAAAGTAAGTGGAGTAACACCATATCAAGATTCTCTCATTCAGTCTTGTATATTCAAGTATGTTTATAGCTGACCTTATGCCTTTAGGTAGGCTCGTTCTTTTTCTTAGGTACGTTGTTTTGTTGGGCAAGGTAGAGACCCTAGACCCATTTTAAAGACACTAGATAGATGATTCATACTACGTTACATGTTAGATCAAATTTATCCTAAATAAAAAAATAATTTGGGTAATGATAGCATTTTTAAAGGTAAAAAAGGTAATGATAAAAAAGACAATGACTAGTGGAAAAAATTGAACGCTTGCAAATATTATAAAAAATATACTTTTTAAATATTTTTAACATGTTTCAATAATCTTATTTGATAACAAAATAAAAATTAGATGAGAACGAGATAACCTTAAAAAGAGAAAACAAAATTCAGAACTCAATCACTAGTAAATCAAATACTAAAGGAGAATTCAGAACTCAATCACTAGTAAATCAAACACTAAAAGAGAAATTAAAAAAAATCAATTTTAAAAAAGAAAAAAAATATCTGATTCGAGTTAGCAAGCTAAATTCATAGCTCGATCATGAGACTGGATAAACCCATACAAAAGAAATTGAATAAAATAATAGAGGTTAATTCTTAAGCAAACTAAATTATAAAAGACAAAACTAAAAGAAAAATCCATTAAAAAACATAAAAATTAGAGTCAACTCAAGTTAACTCAATTAATCAATGATTCAGGAGATGAGGTTGGGATAATTTTATAAAAATAAAAGCTAGAAAATTATGAAGATCAAGGTCTGATAATCTAATGTATAGAAAATTATGAAGATCAAGGTCTGATAACCTAATGTAGAAGGATAAAATTGAAAAAAAAAATTAATTTTAGAAAAACCTAAAAAGAGATTGAAGTTAAATCAAGTTAATTTTTGAAACTTTTGACTCAAGTCATGAAATAAGGATTATCCCATATAAAAAAAATCACAAAGTATAATTCTCAATAATCCAAAAATCACAAAGTATACTTCTCAATAATCCAAATATGGAGGGATAGAATTGAAGAAGATAAATTAATAAAAAGATTAAAAAATCAATTAAAAAGATATAAAAGAAACTAGAATCAACTTGAGTTAACTTAATCAATCCAT